TTAACTACAATCACTACATTCCCACCACCATTTACAACTGAATATACAACTACTTGGACTACTACAAATTCAAACGGATTAACTGAAACTGATTCAGGTATAGTAAGTCAATCAGGATCTTCATTAACTACAATCACTACATTCCCACCACCATTTACAACTGAATATACAACTACTTGGACTACTACAAATTCAAACGGATTAACTGAAACTGATTCAGGTATAGTGAGTCAATCAGAATCTTCTTTAACTACAATTACTACATTCCCACCACCATTTACAACTGAATATACTACTACATGGACAACTACAAATTCAAATGGATTAACTGAAACGGATTCAGGTATAGTAAGTCAATCAGAATCTTCATTAACTACAATCACTACTTTCCCACAACCATCTACTTCAGGACCAATTATATGTAAAAGAGGTGACGTCGATTGTTATAGCCCATCTGTTTTGTCGAGTTTGAGTCCACCTTATCAAAATTCGTCTATTTTATCGTCTTCATCACAAGAATATACAACACCCGGAGTTGACACCTCTTCAATTGAATCATCATTAGCATCATCAACCGGAGAATATTCTTCATCATCAATTTCATTTGTAACACCAATATCATCATCATCAACTGGAGGATATTCTTCTTCATCAATTTCATTTGTAACACCAATATCATCATCATCATCAATTGAATCATCATTAGCATCATCAACGGGAGGATATTCCTCATCATCATCATCATTCGTAACGCCAATATCATCATCATCATCAATTGAATCGTCATTACCATCATCAACCGGAGGATATTCATCATTATCATCATCATTCGTAACACCAATATCATCATCATCATCATCAATTGAATCGTCATTACCATCATCAACCGGAGGATATTCATCATCATTATCATCATTCGTAACACCAATATCATCATCATTATCATTCGTAACACCAATATCATCATCATTATCATCATCAATTGAATCATCATTGGCATCATCAACCGGAGAACATTCTTTATCATCAGTGTCATTTGTAACACCAATATCATCATCATCATCATTGTCATCAATCATTTCATCGCTGCAATTACCAAGCTCTTCAATTCAAACACATTTTTCATCAGAAGTTTTATCATCATCAAACCCACCATCATCAAATCTGCCATCATCAAGCTTATCATTAGCATCACATCATTCAGAAGTTTCGTCCTCGTCAGTATTATTCAGCTCATCAATTGAATCATCTATACCAGTAGTTGTCTCATCATCGTCCTCGGTTGCATCAACACAAAGTTCATCCTCATCATCACCATCAATAAATTCATCATCATTATCATCGTCAACATCATCATCATCAACATCATCATCAAAATCATTCTCATCATCATTAATAATTACATCATCATCTTCGACAATTTCATCAACATCACCATCGATAATTTCATCAACATCACCATCGATAATTTTATCATCATTCGCTACTGGTCCATCCGGATTATCATCTGCCACTGGCAAATCATCTGCTACTGGTAAATCAGAATCATCTAGTCCAACTCAATCACCATCAGCTACTGGAGCACAATCATCTACTAGTACATCAGCAGCTACCGGAAAATCATCAGCAGCTACTGAAACACAAACTGGTCCATCAATTTCAGGAGAACCAACAGGAGAACCAAAAGGTTCAAACTTACCATCATCTTCAAGCTCAAGCTCAAGCTCTTCAGAAAATGGAAATGGTGGAAACGGTGGAAATGTCGGAACTTCAACAATTACGGAATATACTCAACCAACTGGTGGTAATGGAAATGAAGGTGGTAATGGAAATGAAGGTGGTAATGGAAATGAAGGTGGTAATGGAAATGAAGGTGGTAATGGAAATGAAGGTGGTAATGGAAATGAAGGTGGTAATGGAAATGAAGGTGGTAATGGAAATGGATCAGGCAATGGGTCATCAGGTAACAATGGAGAAACTAATGGAGAAGGTAATGGGTCATCTGGTAACAATGGAGAAACTAATGGAGAAGGTAATGGCTCATCAGGTAACAATGGAGAAACTAATGGAGAAGGCAATGGGTCATCAGGTAACAATGGAGAAACTAATGGTGACGGCAATGGGTCATCAGGTAATGGCTCATCAGGTAACAATGGAGAAACTAATGGTGAAGGCAATGGGTCATCAGGTAACAATGGAGAAACTAATGGTGACGGCAATGGGTCATCAGGTAATGTCGAACCGCCCAACAACGGCAATTCAGCAACTAAAGGCAATAATGGATCAAATCAAAATGCACAATCTACGTCAATAGAAGCTCAACTTACAACTTTAGCTCAAGCAACTGCGTCATCAAACTCACAATCAACCGATGCTTCAAATCAAGGATCTCCAAGTGTAACGACATATGAAGGATCAAGTTCAAAATCAACTACTTCCACATTATTAGTAGTGTTGTTTGCATTATCCTCAATTTTGTTTTAATTATAACTTCAAATGAAGTAAGATATTTTCATTTTCGACTTTCATATTCAATCAATATTAATTTTCAACACGTCATTGCATTTTTTAAATTAAATTTTCTACAATTTTATCTTCAGATTTCGGTATAATAGTTCACAAGCGCCTAAGAGTTTTAGTGTTTTAATTTCAAAAGAATGTCATTTATACAATATTTGCTACATCTTTATAATTTTTATTTAGTTCCTTGTATTTTCTTCAATGAGTTCAACTTCATACAATATTAATATATAATAGATTTGTTATACTTATTGATATTTGTTACCATCTCTAATACGATGAGATACTATTTGTAGGTTTCAGATAATTGTGTAAATGGATTTGAAAATCACAGTGAGTACTTGAATTTTGACTCACCATCTTTTATTGGACTGTCCTGTGTTAGCTAAAAACAAATTTAACAATTGCTGATAAATAGAATTATTCTGAAGGATAAACGTATAACTCAATAGATTGAAATAAATTAGTTCTTGATAACATTTTGGCAACTTTTTTTAACATTCACAACTTTTTAATAAGAATTTAGAATAATTACCAAGTAGGACTAATTCTAGAGACAAGCAAACAAGTGAGATAGAAAAGTCACTGACCAGATATTCCATTACTTAATTAGTCGACTAACATCGAATATGCACATACTCCCTTCAACGAAATATTGCATATATTTTAACCTTATTAGAGAACAACAAAAGGCAGATGAAATTTGTAAATGCAAGTTAACTCGTTACATCTAATCTAACTTATTCGTTACCTCAAGAATACGTAAATAATAGGAAAAAACCCATGAAAATTTGATCAACACCGCTCAACATCTTAAACAGGAACGAGAAGAAACGTCCTGAATTCAATTCCGATATCCGTCCAAAGAACCATTCTGTATCAAACCGTACGAACAAAGTTATCATTGCATCATTTTTAAACTCATCATCATTACCATTATTAACATCGTTTCAATTAACATCATGATCATTAGCTTCTTCATCACTTTTAGTATCTGACAAAAAATCTAATTGTCCAAGACCACTTAAAGTTGATTGAGAATTTGGCCCTAGGTTTTATCTTTCTTTAATTTGGATTGTTTTAACCTGAGTTCGGCTTTAACAGATGATTATTGATAAATCTCTAGTTTTAACTCTGTCTTTCCCCTTCGATCTCGTAAATAAATCATCATCGTCATCATCATCATTGCCATCGTTATTATTGCCATTACTATCATTATCATCATTATCATTATCTTTATCATAATTATCATTATCACTAATTTCATTATCATCATCTTCATTATCATCATCTTCTTCTTCACCATCATAATCATCATCATCACCATCAAAATAATCATCATCATCATCATCAACACCATCAACAATCGCAATATCAACAGCCGCATCATCTTCAAATGAAGATTCTCCATTTGATGGAAGTTTTAATGAGAAATCAGCGTATGTTTGCTTTTCCATATCTTTCTCATTATCCATCTCAAAATTATACAAAGATTGAGTATTTTGGATTTCGTTAAATCATTGATAATTCATTGGATGTGGAGAATTGAAAAAATACGGAGCTGAACTTGTTTGTTGGGCCAAAAAAACCGAATTTGGTTGATATTGAGGTTGTTAAAATCGGGGTTGTTGATATTGCGGTTGTTGATATTGAGGTTGTTGATATTGAGGTTGTTGAATTGGTTTTCGTTGAATTGGTTGTGGGGATTGTTGTTGATTTCAACTTTGATATTGTTGTTGGTTAGTGGTTGTTAATATAGTGGTTGAATCGGTTGGTGTGAAAATTGTTACTGATATTGATGATTTAGATAATGTGGATGAAACGTTAGCGGGGCAGGAACAACATAGGAATTTAACTTCCAACCTATATTTCGTTTATTGTTCAGATTGTTGCATGATTGGTGACATCTTGTAATGGATATTGACCACTCATCATGTGTAACTATTGAATTGAATAAATTGAATATATGTAACAAATAATTTGCCTTTGTATAATATTTTTTTTATTTTTTTTTTAACTTTAGTGGTTATCATTATTTACATCAAATTTTTATAACGCGTAATATTTTGTATTACATGTTATTAATATTTGATTACACATCATTTGAAACACGCAATCAATGAATACAAACTCAAATCAAGAAGGATTAGAAAACCTCAGCCTTAATGAATTCCATCAATGGTGTGTTGAAAATCCTGGTGTCGTCCCAGATGCGGTACTTAAATATCGAGCAAATCAAGAAGTTTTATATCTACATTTTTTAGCCAGATCAGGGTCTACTTATGCAGCAGCCGTTGATGCTAGAAAATCTAACTTGACAAAAGCTCCCGTCCAGAGTATCATAGAAGCTTGGAGCAATAAGACGGAAGAAATTGATGCTTTACCAAGACTTTCTGAAGCTGAGTTATTACAATTAAGAGAAATCATTGAAAGTCACAATGATTCAGTTGAAATGATTGAAAGATTTAGAGCAGCTAGAACAGCCCTTGATAAAGACATATTTTTATTAATGTTCTCATATGCCACATTAGATACTCCATTTAATATTACTATTAGGGTACGTGACAGATAGAACTCATTTATCTGTATTTTTCATGTTTTATTTGAGTACAAACTTAAAAATGAAACTTTTTAATTCAAAAGATTTAATTTTGACTGGTTCAAAATTCAGTAAAGCAAAGAATTGATTTTTTTGTGAAATTGCTATAAAGTTCTAAAATGTCTAATTTATATGACCTATATAACGTATATAAACCATAAAGCTAATAAGTAACATCATCAAATTATACTAATTATTTCCTTCGTTAATAGGTTAACAAAAAATTCGATTGTAGTATCACCATATATTTAGAAATAATTCAATATAATTTGCAGCTGATGAGAATGAGATAATGATGATATAAGGATTTCTCATCCTTAAATTGACCGTATTTGTACAGTCATCTATCTCACAAAAGCTTTCCAATCAGATTGACCTCATTCATCATTTACTTTATCCACTTCATGTTTGTCCTGAGACTTGTGAAATCGGGAATGTTAGGTTTGACCATTATTTTTGACTGCTGAAATTTTGTTACTATTTCAATAATTTAACGAAAAAGTCATCCATATTTCGCTGAGACGAACTCTGAATTAGGTTTTATACTTCATACTCATTTATTAAGACTTAAAAATCGATACTCATTTAGTTCTCTCATCTTTTCTGGAAAGGAACGAAATCTAAGTTCATAATGAATTTTATCATCTATGATGTTTTTATTTCAATATTTTAGAATTTTACATTGATTACAACAAAATTACAATTTTTCGTAATTCACTTTTTTAAGTTAATAAAAAGCCAAAAATGCGATAACAAATCATTAAATCTGGGGTAAAACAAAAAAATGGAAAATTTTTAATCCGAGATTATTGAGCTATAATAAAAATTTATAGATATTATTATGTTTTGAAGTTCCCAAAGAAATTAGGAGAAAATTTTATATAATATGTTATATGATTAATTTGACTATCTTTGTTGAGTTCTTGTTCAGCGTAAATGAAATTTCATCATCATTTCATTATCATTTCATCTTCATTGAATGACCAGTTAAAGTGCATGGGAATTTCATCATTATATTTTGATCCTCCTACATAATGATCTCATGAAATCTGTAATGTTAATAAAATTCTACCATTCAAATTTCAATAATATCCGTTTATCAAGAAGCTGTGGTTTTTTTCATTACGTGGTTGCAAATATAAATGTTTTCCACAATCCAAGTATTACCAAGATTTGAATAATCATGCATTTATCCGATTCCAATGGAATAAAATGATAATAAGATAAAATTCAAATACCGCCCCATGCAAGAAAAATTAATTTACGAGTATTATATAATTTACGAAACAATTTTGTGTCAATCGAATGTTTTTTTTATTCTTTTTTGTTTGAACAGGGCGTTTTCTTTTATCTAAAAAATACGAAACTTTAAATTTAACAATACATTTTTAGATAAACAATTAAAAATTTAAATTTTTTTAGATTTTATAGGGTCAGTCGTAAAAATGGAAAAATAGATTAAGTTTTTTAGTTTAGATTAATTTTTAGATACTTTTTGATTACCAATTTAGGATAATTTTCGGAAACTTATTCAACTCGAAGTTTTACTTTGTACTTTTTAAAAAGTATTACGAATTAATTTCTCTACGATTGAAAAGAGGTCTTATCTCATAGTTGATTTGCCGTTGCCAGGTTTTAGCCTAATTGTGTTTCGAGTGGATGTTCAACTGTGTAGTTTTCAACAGTTTGTTGGTACTGTCGAATGGAAAAGAGTATTACAGATAAAATATTTATATCACTTGTTGGCGTTCAAAGAAATTCAGAATATGTATTGTGATTTCTTAAATTGAAATTGCCATAATTGTTCTTTCTAAATATTTGAAATTCTAATATCAAATACTACAAAATAGGAAATTTCATTTGGTTCGATGATGCCTAATGAATTAATTCTATTTTGAAAAAACCTTTAACTTTGTAAACGAAATACGGAAAAATATAATTTAGTAAATTGATTAGACTTTCCAACGGCGAGTGGTGTAAATCTGTTATGGGTTGTTGAAATTAAGATTTTGCACTTTTCTTGCTTCTTGTTAAATGTACAGTTGTTAATAAATCAATAGTTCAGTAAATGTGAATCATTCGATTCGTAATTTTTCAAAACATTACCTAGATGTCTTTTATTTCAATCAAGTAAACCCAATTTCAGTGACCAATTTTAATTAATGAAACCTCAATTAATACATGAATTGACTGTTTTGCTCCTTCCCGGTTTACGAATCTTAAAGAAAATTATTATTTTACTTAAAAAGACCCACAAACTTTCGGAAAATAGAAAGATTAAACTTTTCAAAACTCATAACCGAAATGGAAGGATGAAGTCTACAGAATATCATAACCCATCTGTCCCCTAATCTTTTTAGTTCATATAAGGAATTCATCTTGAAAAAGAGTAATCATATTTACTACCAAGTCCCCGTAGACGGTGTTTTTTATTCTTGATTCTGTACCCGTATAAATCAGAAGTTAAGATAATAAATGTATTTAAATCAAATTTCTATTAGCAATGAGACATGTTTTATAACATTTTTATTTAGTTCTTGTTTTGATTATCAATATTATTCCAAGTAATATATTCACTAAATTAACTGGTTTAAGCTCACAGGTTATGTTCAATGGTTCCGATCTCTTAGTTTTTTTTTAAACTTTATTTAAGTACATCTCTACTTAATTCCTAAACTCATGGTATTCTTCATGATAGGCTATATATCGAATTTGAATTTGTATTTAGAAATTGAAAAATTTAATTATCCGAAACATAAGTAATTTACAATCGGAAGTCCATTACATATTCATATCATTATTAAAATTATTTTTGCTACTAATTCTATACATGTTTTTTAAATGATTTCAATTCAAAGATACACCTCCTTTGTAAAATTTTTATTATGATATTTTATTTACATGGTAAAACTGAAATATAAAATTACTACATCAGAATGAATCTTCATATTTATTGAATATGGCAATTTCACATTTATTGTAAACTTTTTCATTGAATAATTTGACTTATTTATTTTGTGACAATTTGAAATGATTTTCAATTTAATGGCTTAAAAAGTGAATCTTTTTCACTAGTTAAAAAATGATTTACAAGGTTAGTAGAGTCTATATTTTACGATCAACCCTTTATTACAAAATCATCAACTTTATGTTAGTTGATAATAAAAATAATCTGTTTTTGGTTTTAATATCTTCAGCTTACGGGCAAAATTTAAAACTTTCTACATAAATAAATTTGAGATAAATACACGATTCATACATCAGATGATCTTATGAGTAGAGATTCTTTTCTTTTTTTAATTGCTTTCATGAACTGAAATTGAAAGGGTTTATTGTTCATTTAATTTAGATTAGCCATAGTAGTATAATTTGTATGTGGTAATTCTACGGAAGAAAACAATTTGTTTTTTAGACTTTGATCATCATGTTTTGTTGTTCCGAATCTCATTAGTAAATCATCGATCTTAAATTAACTTTCGATCTCGTAATTTCGTACATTTTTAAGTTTAGGCTAATACTATTAAAGATTTACAATTCTCAACAATAGAAGGATTTACAAAAACTTCGATTGACTATGAAGGGGAAAAAAAAAAGGATAGAATATCGATGAGCCGAATCAAAAGTTCTATACTGCTTACTCGAATACAGTTGGACTTAGAGTTTAACAAATTTTGAATGTGTTCATCTAATAACAAAATGAATTTCATTTTTCCTCATAGACGCCTTTAACTTGTGAAATCATTTCAAGTGAGAGTATATGTAAGATCGTATTTATTGATTTATTTCTTCATCTGAAATTTGGACGCCTTCAAATACCATAACGCATGTAATTGATTCGTATTTCCATCCCAAATCGTTATGAGTTGCTGATTAATCCTAAGATTAGTAGGAATATTCTCTATAAATTATTTTTACTGAAAATAGAATATTAAAACGAAACTGATGGACTAAAGTCTTTCTATTTAATTGAACATTATGCATAAGACCATATAGGATTTGCTTTGTGTTAGATATATACTAGTCAAGATACGAATGGCTCAATAAAAATATACTTAGGACTGACATAATAATAAGATTTCAATTAACCTAAGCTGAAAAAATTGGACTATACAGTAAAAAATAATACCTTGATAAGTAAGAAATAACCCTATAGGTCTAATTGGTTTAGATTGTATTATTTTTCCGGTAATCTATAAATTTTAATGAAAGGGAAAGAAAGAATTAAAAGATTGTTTATAGAGAAAAAATCTTCACAATTGAGATAAAATGATTCCGATTTTGCTATAATTGTTAGATTACCTTATGATGCAATTAATTTTCAATAAGATTCACATATTGAAAAGATAAATAACAATATTAAAAGCTATCATCGATATATCTTTTAATTCAAATTACATTTCAAAACAATAAGGCAATTGTTAAAACTTACACAATAATGGAAATATATATTAACATATCCTGATGATGATGATTAACAAAGGAAATTTAACAATAAGAATCATACATCAATCTATAGCTTACATCTAAAAATTTCTTTTAATGATTCATATAGGAAGACTTAGATTTAAAAATTTAGTAATTCATAATATGTTCTATTCAATTAATTTGGGCAAATATAAACTTTGAACATATGTAGCAAATTTTTCAAATCTTAGTACTTAATTAACAAAAGTCATTCTACTTCGAGTCTCTGAGCAAAAGCACGTATAGACTTATAATCAGTTTCACAATGATATTAATATTGATGATAATTCTTTACTAAATTAGATTTGTAAAATATAAAGTTTTTTTAAATTGATTTTTTAGTAAATTAGAATTTTTTCAAGGGTTTTTTCTCAAATTTATTATACTATATAGAATGTTGTGTTTGTGTCATTAAAGAACAATTTAATTTGTTTTACAAATAAATTTTTATTAAAAAAAAAATCTGATTAATTTTAATATTCATACATCAAAGAAAGGGTGATCAAGTTTTTTCTCAAACGAATAAGATATGCTACATTACATCAATAAACACAAAAGAAGGATAACTTTAGTTACTAGGACATTGAAATGAATTTTTTAAATAAATTTTTTTACCGAACTACATGTTTTAAAAGACAATTGATAATAAGGGTATAATATTAGAACAGGCGTTTAAGTATTATACTAATCTTTGATCATTTCTTCACCATGGCAGTCAATTTAATACATAATGAAGAGTCTTAGATATAATTATATATATGATTGATTATCATCTTTCAACTTAAAAAGCTACCGCTTTAAATCAATTTTATTTCATTAACATTCAATTCATTTTCATCAATATTTTTATCATTATCATCATCATCATCATAATCATTATCATCATTATCAAAAGATAATTAAACTTCATTTCAAATGTTCTTAAAAGTGTTAATATTATTTATCACAGTAATTTTTCAACATGTTTTTGGGGCTCAAGTTTCAGGTATATTCACTAATTTTAATTCACTTACATATACCCCAACAGTAGGTTATACTCATGCTGCCCCAAACAACCCAACATGGCAAGCGACTTTAGATTGGACGTTAGATGGAACCAGGTTGTCTGCTGGTGATACATTTCAATTAATGATGCCTTGTGTTTTTAAATTCATTACCGATCAGACGTCTGTAGATTTAACCGCTCAAGGAGTTTCATATGCAACATGTCAACTTAGACCAGGTGAACTTATTGTAGCTTATTCAACACTTGATTGTACAGTGAAACCAGCATTATCAACCAATAAAGCTTATGGGTCATTAACTATTCCATTAACTTTCAATGTGGGAGGATCTGGGAATCTGGTTGACATGGAAGATGCTTCTTGTTTCGATGGAGCAGGTCAAAATACAGTTACCTTCAGAGATGGGCCAAATCAATTATCAATTGTGGTAAATTTTGATATTCCAGATGTTACAAGTACAACTCTTGGTTATGATGCTGTTAGAATAATACCTACATTAAATAAACAACAGATTTATGCACTTCCTCACAGTTGTCCAAAAGGTTATTCAAGTGGTACGCTTGGTCTTTCAGCTAAAGGAGCTCAAACATTTGATTGTTCAAATTGGCATTTTGGTTTTTCAAATACTATGAATGATTGGTATTTTCCAAGAGATTTCACCACCAAATATATGACAACACAACTGTGTACTCCTACTTTAGTTACTTTTTCATTTAAAGACGTTCCGGCTGGCTATAAACCTTTCATTGATAGCTTTTATAACGCTGTTAATGGCCAGGATGTCACATTTGATTTAATATCTCAAGTATATTGTACTGGAAGCTCAATCTATTGGGATGACTCAAAACCACAATCATTTTACAAGTATAATCAATCTTTAGCTTTTGCTGATGGTCATGTTGTGGTAGTTACAACCAAAACTGTTACAGGTACAGCTCCAACACTGATTACTACGCTTCCATTCAATCCCACCGTTGATAAAACTCAAACAATTCAAGTTATTGCTCCAGTTCCCACTGTTACAGTCACAAAATCTCACGTAGGCTTGTCAACATCCTATAGCACAGTCACTAACAGTCCAGGTGGCACAGCAACTTATTTTATAGATAATCCATATCATTTAACAACTACACTGTCATTATTTTATTCAGGAAATACAAAATCCACTTCCACTTTTATTAATCCAAGTGGAACTTTAGATACTGTTTTCATTTATTATCCTGTTAATCCAACAACCACAGTTTCATCATATTGGTCAAATTCTTATACTTCAACAAGTACTGCTACAAATGGTCCAGGTAAAACAGATTCATTGGTCATTCAATATCCTAATAATCCAACGGTTACAAGCTCCATTTTTTGGACAGGAGTTTCAACTTCATTTTCCACTACAAAATTACTGGCAGGAAGTTCAGACACAATCGTAATAGCTTATCCTTCCAATCCAACTAGAACTACTACTATTTATACCGGATCCCTGTTGACTACAACCACTCAAAAAAATGGACCAGGAAGTGTAGATTCAGTGATTGTCAATTTTCCTGTAAATCCTACTTCAACAAAAACTCAATATTATTCAGGATCTACTACTTTAACATCAACTATTACAGCTACAATTGGAGGAACTGATTCAGTTATAGTTAATTACCCATCAAATTCAATTTTAACTAAAACTCAATATTACTCAGGATCTACAATTTTCACATCAACTGCTACAGCTACATTTGGTGGTCAAGATTCAGTAATTGTTAATTATCCATCAAATCCAACTACAACCAAGACTCAATATTATTCAGGATCTACTGTTTTTACTTCAACTGCTACAGCTACATTTGGTGGTCAAGATTCTGTTATAGTTAACTATCCTTCAAATCCAACTTTAACTAAAACTCAGTATTATTCAGGATCAACTATTTTTACTTCAACTGCTACAGCTACATTTGGTGGTCAAGATTCAGTAATAGTTAATTATCCTTCAAATCCAACTTTAACTAAAACTCAGTATTATTCAGGATCAACTATTTTTACTTCAACTGCTACAGCTACATTTGGTGGTCAAGATTCAGTAATAGTTAATTATCCTTCAAATCCAACTTT